TATCTACATCACGATGTGGGCTACATGCACTGTTCTGACACATAAACACACAATAAATCGGTCTACGACTACTAGAGAGTATCCAACTGCTTAAAAAGAAGAAACAACAACGGTTACTCTCGAGTGACACCTCTAGTCTAGTCCTTGCCATGACGTTTTTGTTGCAAATGTCGTAAAACCCATACAAAGAACTAAAAGAAAAACATTAGTAGAGGGAAAGGAAAGGAAGACACTCGAGACCTGCTCGATAGAAAAACACAAAACAAAAGAAAAGCCCACATCTAGTTACGTAACTTTTAAGTACAGTAACAACAAATAATAATGATACAATTACAGTTCAGGGCAACTAAGTTTTAATTTAAAGCGTTTTTCTGCCATTTTTGACGACTCACTAGTAATTTATAAGAGTGAGTATTCCTTAACCTACGCCAGGGAATATGAACAGCAGGACAAGTTTAACACGAGCGTTGGCTGCTGCCCTACAGTGAGTTATGCACATACATTTGTTTATCCCTTGATATAAGTTAATATAACAGACTAAAAAAGCAGGAAACAAATACATGTCAATTATTGAGAATAAGATTTGACCTGTGCTTATTAGAAACAAAGAGTGTATGCAATATTTTGCTTGAATGATTTACTCTGTTATTTTTTAGTGAATGTAGAACTGCATATTAATACATCATTATGTTCATGTATGTGGGTATGTATGTATGTCATGAATATTAAGTAAAGCGCATAGAACAACGATTGTAGCACGGATTTGCACGATATAAATGTAACATCATTATCATTATTATAAACGAATAATGCAATGTTACGGGATTTTTAAATTTTTTTTTGGGGGGGGGGGGGGGGTAAGAGGCAAATGTAAGAAAAATGTAAGAAGGGGGGTGGGGGACGCGGGGAGGAGCAAAAAGTCCCTAAAAAGGTGTATGATTATATTTGAACAGCCCCTTATAGCCTTGGAAACTCCACAAAACGACCAACCTCCAAAAACACCTACTCTGGAGGGATTCAAACCAGGACCATCCGCCCCGTATGCCAGCATGATACCAACTGAGCTGTTGGAGCGCCCCGGCTGGCATTGAGTTACGGGACTACACATTACTTTAGCCCTTGGTATGTAAAAGACTAAAATGAACCCATAAACAGTTTATTTGAGGAATAGGTATGATTTATGTGTCACAAAAATCGGTTAAAAAATGTGTAAAACATTACTGAACAGTAGAGTCTGAGATTAATGATACCGCAAAATGTTCCCCGATAAATTCTGATATGAAATAATTTGTTAAGTAAGTACCGGGTAAGGGATTTTTTGGTGACTGGAAACAAGATAAAAATGTTCAACAATATTTTTTCAGCTGTTTGTACGTTTGCCCGTACTCTGCTACTGCTGATGTCATTGGCTAATCATAAACATCAAGTTTGGGAACCGAGCAAATCGCGCCAAACATAGTCTAGACATGTTTAGACCAGTCTATCTCCTGACGAACAATTAGTGACAATCTATTACTGGGTAAATAGGCCTGCTAGGCTATCGTTAGACTAACAGTTTATCATTAGACGAACATGTTTAGACAGTCTATCATTGGGTGAATATCATGAGATAAACGCAATCTATAACTAGACGGACATTTTTTGACCGACGGTTTATCACAACACAGACACATTGTGAAAAAAACAATCGATACAAAATGGCAATAAATTAAAACGCTTTTGTATAGCGCATATCCCCGCTCGACAGCGAGCGTCATGCACTTTACAATCTATTATTACTCCTTAAAATATCCAGAAACATTCTTGGCTTCCCTAGAAGCATGCCGTTAGATTGGCATAAATAAAGTAGTAATCTACTGCGCAATAACGCATCAAAGTACAATGGCAGGAATAAATGAAAACCCCAAACAGGTTAGTCAAAATAAACACTTAGTTTAAGAAGCCCTGTAAAAATGGAGGCCCCAAAGAGTCAAAATAAAATTTAAGAAAATAAATCTCCTTTCAACTGATGAAAAAAAATCTTGAAATACTTGCTGGATACCATAAAAATAAGCAATCAAGCGGGCAAGATTCTGAAAGAAACTATAATATAAGAGTCGAGATGAACATATCATAATTGACATTATCACATGGCCAGCAAACTGAAAAATATCTATGATGTAAGGATCACTATACAGAATAATTAAAACATTGCAAATTAAATAAAATTAAAAATAAACGTAAAAATGAAAAAAAAACAAAACAAAAAACCCCCAAAAAACCCAAAACAACAACCCCCCCGAACCCCCCCCCCACCCAAAACCAAAACCAAATCAAACCCCCCCCCCCAAAAAAAACCCCCAACAAAAAACCATCCCCCCCCCAAAAAAGAAACAGAAAACAAAAAAACTCAAAACATGTAAGCATAATAATATGAATGAATCATTTTGTATAAGTCATCCGTCATCTGAATATTGAAAACAAAAAAAGAAAAAATATATTACACAATCATTTATCAGATCTAATTATCTCAACACATGTTTACATTTTATCTAGATGGATGAAATATCAATGAGCATTTTTCAAAAGTGATGGTTCATACATTGGAATTTTCAAGAAATCAATGTAGTTAAATCTATTGCACTTTAAAGTAGCAAAAACAAAGTTTCACAGAGGCTACAAAAGAGACTTATTTATACTTTTGGTGAACAAATGAATCATCAGCAACGCTTAAGTAGCAGCAATACTTGTCAAAACTTTGAAAGCAAAAGCAATAGAAACCAATGGAGTTTGGTCATTTTATGTACAAAAAAATATACATGCAACAGTGAAACATGGTACATGCTTTAAATGTGGTTTTAGGAACGCTTAGGTCCCCTGCCCCTGTTCCCAGCTCCCTTCGCCAATAAAAACACCCCCACCTAAAAAAATTACAACAACCAACAAACAAGCCAACAAACTTCAAAAGCAATCCCCCCCCCAAAAAAAAACAACAACAACCAACAACAACCCTCCATAAAACACCAAAAACACCCTCATGTGGGAGTCAAATCCCCCCCCCCCAAAAAAAAAAACCCAACAAGAAACAACAATAACAAAACCAAACCAAAATCAAACCAAACCAAACCAAAATCAAACCAAACCAAACCAGCCCCCCAAAAACCCGACAACAAACAAACAAACAAAAAACAACAACAAAAGCATTCCCGAAAAACCCCCCCCACAAAAAAACCCGTCTCATTATGTATTGTTTACAAATTCAAACGTGTCGTATTACGCCATATACCGTGTTGCAACAATATTATAATACCCCGTCTTTCCGTAAGATCCTCTGTCTCGGTGAAAAATTGAGATTTCCGGAAGGTGACGGAACAGATTGGTCGTGGCTATTTCTGGGAGGTGTAGACCACTGTTCCTACAAACTTGGTTTCCATTTTTCGTTTGCCTGAAGAAACTGAAATCTTAACTGGGCACTGTAAAGCCATAATACAATCCCATAAAACCACGTTTCAGCGCCTTTAAAAGGGATCGACAAATACCATAAAAATAACATTGTCAAGGTGACGATACATTGTCAGTCCAATACACAAAAATGATGATACGATAATAGATCTACTAATAATCGGAACATTTTTGTAAAAGATGGAACAATTGGAATTCATAATGTGCTGGTATACAGAGGTTGAATAGTGTGCATGCAAGAAACTTGCACTTTAGTCAAAACGTGGTAACGAGTGATGAAGACTTATACAAGAGCTGACTTTTACGATAACATTTTGGTTAGTTTAACAACATTGATTTTTGTTGATTTTTTTGTTTGTTCGGTCTTTCGAAAATGGCATTGAAACTCTGTCCGTTTGTAAGATGTAAGGTGGGGCAAGAGAAAGTCCTTAAATAAAAAAATCAGGCAGCAAGAAGGATCTGATATTTGAGAAGTGGAGGCAAGAAAGTGCTAGATCGCCAAGTTTAGGATTCGATCCAGGGCCATCCGCTCCGTGGTCCAACATGGTACCAACTGGGCGAACGGAGTGCCCTCTGACTAAATAGATGAACAAGAGAAGGTACACAGATCTGGGAGGGATTATGTGGAGAGTTCTTGTTTAGGGGGAAACATTCTGGGAATCAAAATGCTAGTTACATATTATTGCTTGAGATTCATGTTGCGATGCTAGAGCTGTGGTGGGTGGTCATAATAATATTTGTGAGGCAGCGCGGTGGAATCAGGCTCTCGTCAATTTTTGGGCATGTAGAGTTATTGGTATCATATTAAAGCTTGTTCAATTGTCTTTATTTGGATGAAAAAAGTATCCATTTAGCTTGAATACTAGTCAAGATATTTGTGAATGAAGGAGGGGGGGGGGGTCACTTGTTTTCAGAGGTAAAATTAGGGAGAAAATAGTCGCCTAAGATTAGTTATTTCCTTAGCTTAAGAGTTCGTGGTAACTGAAAAATTACATTTTTTGTGCCTTTAATCAAAGTTTTTATGAAAAATCCATACAGAAATGAGCTCTTTAATAGGCATGAAAGGTGTTGAGCCAAAAAACAAAAAGTTGATAAAAATTCACAAACTTGCGGAAAAATGCAAGTTTCTTCACTTTGATTATTTTGACGCGAGCTTGATTCCACCACGCTGCCTCACATATGAACAGATGTACATTGTAATCCATGAATGAATAAACACACATTTTCAAAAAGAACAGGACAAGAACTGCTTGTAAATTCAACAACTTTTCGCTACCTCAGAATTACAAAGTCCTATCAGGCATTTTCGGCCGTTTTGAGTCAGAAACCAAATGTTCCATATGCTGTATCAAAATCGTAAGAATAATCGGAGTCGTTATCAAGATATTCAAAGAAATGCTTTGGAAAAAAACTTGACATGTTGTGAAACTAAAAAAAAAATAAAAAATGATGCCAAATTTCTCGAGACTAGGCCATGAGCTGATAGAACGTTTGTAATTTTGAGGTAGTGTTTTGTCAACAAAATACTACGACTGGTAGGTCCTACTTTGTTTCTTTTCTCCTTCAGTTATTTCTGTCCACAAGGTTGGGATATTCGCAGAGAGAACACGTCTCTCTATAGTTTCTCAGGATCCACCTCAAAGTTATTTTTATACATACATATATATGTCCAATCTTTTCTGCGCACCAAACGACTGCGATTGAGTCAATGTACTTCTCGTAACGTGGATGGTTGGTTTGGTCCTTCTTTCTTTTCAAAATTCTATCATAGTTATCTCTCCTCCTCCTTTTATGTGTTTGTTACTCTCTTAACTTGCAACACCTCTAATTTGCGGCACTTTTGTGACATAAGTGTGTTGGGTGTGCCGAGAAATCCGTACTGACACTATCTTAACCGATTTTTTTAAAAGTAGAAGAGAAGTTATTAGTCTAAGCATTTGTTCTCTGTCTAACCCAATAAAACCTGTGTCTAGTTACTGTCTTTTTGTTTGCAAATACAACTTCACAATATAATTCTTATCCCCCCCCCCCCCAAGAAAAAAATTAAAAAAAATAAAAATCAACATCTTTCGATTCTAACAAATCACGCGTGTGTGATCCTCCCATTATAACAACCATTTCCAAACGCGGATGGGATGGGATGGGACCGGCGTCTGTGTTGTAGCAGTTAGGCACTTCGCCGTCTAACGCAGGAGATTCCTGAGCGCGAATAATTTTTTAAAATCGAGTATCTCAGTAAATGAGTAATTGTGTTTGGAGGCAGTATTCCTCTAAGTTCAGGCTGTATCTCACAGGAAAGCCTGAAGCTCACCCCCACCCTCTCTCCAAATGATCTAAATTGTGTCTTTGGGGGTGTACAAATAATAATATTTGCACACAAAAAAATTGAAACACCCTGTAGTTCTATCTACTTTTTCTCCAACCACACCTGAAGTTCTAGCTTTTTTCTTCTCCTACCATCTCTTTGTACTGTGCTTCTATCTTCTATCTTCTTCTTCTCCTACCACCTCTGCAGTTCTATTTCTTCTCTGACCACCCATGTGGTTCTTTTTCTCCAATCACCTTTCTTGGTAGTTCTCTCTACTTCTTGTGTCCCTTCTGCCACATGGAGACCACAGCAGACTTGAGGTACATCTTCTCTTTGAAGGACTTGCTCTTGAATCTGTTCCTGTTGCCCCTCATCTCGTCCCCGCTGTCGTCACTGCTCCCGCCTGCCCCTTCATCCCAGGCCTCGTCTTCTGTGTGGATCTCCATCTTCTGCATGATCTTCCTCAGCAGCTGGTTGTTCTTGTCCAGAACGCCACTCATCTCTCGCATCCTGAGAGGTGAGGTGAGGTGAGGTGAGGTGAGGTGAGGTGAGGTGAGGTGAGGTGAGGTGA